AAAAGTGGGTTGGGTTTTTTTTCAAAAAATTAAGGCCCCGTTTATGGAAAAAAAAGAAAATGTTTCGATAAATAATAAATTAAATGCTAGTAAGAATAATTTATAAAAACAATATAAATAATTTAAAAGAAATGTTTAATTAATTTTTTAGTAGTGTTTTCGCTTTCGCTTTTCATGCACACATATCCAAATAAATATAAATTATACAAAAATCGCGTTCTATTCTTTATGGAACTGGCGCCTGACATTTCTGTGGTATCCCACTAGGCAAACAAACCAATAAGTAAGTAAAAAAGGCCAAATAGCAGTCTTGGTATATATTAACATTATTATTAATATTTTAAATAAAATTAATAGTCAATGTTTATATTTTTATTTAATTAATGTTTGTATGTTGATTTATAATTAAAACTATAAATATAAAAAATATTCCTGTTCATACGAACTGAGGGAACAATGAACTAAAAATGATCCAACCAAACCGAAAAACAAAAACGTAAGAAAAAAAATCTTTTAAAAAAAAATATTTGACAACATACTAGAGACTTTTTATCAATATGGCTAAGTGTATTCCTCAAATCTTTTTTAATGGTGTTTTTATGAATCTCGATGTCTGGCTCTTAAAAGTGTAATGAATGATTGCTACGCGATGGCTTCTAAAATACCTACCTAGGCTAAAATATTCGTTTCAGCAATCTGTATAAACAACATAATTAATGTGTGGTATAGTTCTTTGTATTGAACCAACTATATTATGTAGGTTGTTTGTTTAATCATTACAGTGTGTTTGTCCAAGCAAACTATTAAGATTATTTTCATTACTTTCCATTGTTGACAAGTCCTAGTACTTTTTGTCTTTCTTTTATTTTACTCACTTGTTTGTTTAATCAATTATAAAAGCTATATAAAAAAATTGCTGCTTGGTGTAAACCGAAGATGAAAACTAATAGATGATTTAATAAATCTACATCGTATTATTCTTTATTTGCAAAATGTGACATTTCATAATAGATTTTTATAATGAGCCAATAATTTATTGTATCAATTTAAAACGTCACACATATCAATGATATATTTTTAATATTAATGCATTTTTAAAACAAGTATACTCATTGGTTTACCTTGAATATAAATAAGAAAATTATTATCCAACATTAGGAAATAGTTATAGTAACCAAAAATCTTCTAGTATCCGCAAGTTCACTACCAATAAAATCTTCTATCATAAAAACAATCTTAAGGCGAATATTAGCAAGCCTTCTCGTAGCATCATTGAGTGCTTTCTTGCCACAGGCACACTTTTTGACGCCCATAATGGTATTTGAGTATCTGCAGTTCTTTGTTATTACAGTGATGGCTTTGGTCTTGTTTTAATGCCACATCTTTGACAAACTAAATTATACTTTTTTATGGAAATATTTCTATAAAATTTTTTAGCTCCTTCTCAGTCCATTATTCCATTGTTTAAAATTTAATTTTAGAAGCTAAATTTTAAAAAAAAACCCATCCTCCATTTGAGCCATAAATAGCTTGTACCATAATTTGATGACGTACCTAGGCGGTTACGCGCGATTTTTAATAAATGATAAAAAAATTTGTTGTAAAAGCTTGTCATTAGAACGCATGCATTTATCTAGTAAAACTATTTATATCAGTGTGAAAGCCTATTGGTTGTAGAAAGAACCAATAACATTAACCAGAGTTGTTATAATCGTTCGATTGTAAAGCTTTGGTTATGCGCTTAGAGCATGACAAGTTCAATTTAGACTTAGTTTAGTACTTACGATCTCACTAAACTCTTTAATGTTACCATTTCCAAATACTGTCTTAATCGGTTCGCAATCTTTTATAGTTGATTTCATGGTTTCTACCGTATTCCTACTTATGTAGTTTCTTTTTGACCCGCTATCTATAAATATCTCAGTTAATTTATCTTTAAATTTACCTTTAGCAATAATTTCTTCAACTTCTCAAACTAATAATTAAATTATCATATTTTTTCTGATTTAATCTTTCAGCATACAGCAGTGTCTTGTATCATAACTATATTTGTTTTAATAAACACTGCACCTTTTATTAAGATTCGTTTTTCCTAGATGACAGCCGCAGTTAGTTTACATATTTTTCTTTAGGCATTTTAGCCACCAACTCGCATTCTAATATGAGCAAATGTTTAAAAGAATCACTAACACTATTATTAGTTAAGTTAAAATTTGTAAGTTCAAGATGTGTAAAATCTCCCAATTTTTTAATAATAATTTCTTCAAATTTTATTGACCTTTTCTTTTCTTTTAATCCAAACACATGACTACATTTCGTTATTCTTTTTTCTATCTTTTTCTTATACTCCTTTATACTCAGAAACTTAGTCTAACTATTGCTATCCAATTCTCTCATAATTTGTCTTTTTCGCTCACTTGGATATATTATATTTTATAAGAAATTTCTTAAACTAATATAAGAAGTTTTTAGTAATTCTTTTTTCGTTTCATCCACAAATAACCCCGGATAAATTAAGATTATTTGTTCATCCGTCCATTTATTTGTTATGGCTATCACTTCAAACTGATCCAATTTTTTTTGTGTCAGTTCTGATCGAATATCTACTATTTTCCTTATTTTTTTTTTTAACTTCAGTAAGTGATATTTATTTTTCTAATTCTAAAAAACTATTACTATCTTTGCATCTTTAATTTCTTATCTCTTCTTTCTGAGTCTTTAAATTCAAATTGGCGTGTGTTTATCCGGAACTATTTCGTTTTTAAAATATAATTTAAAAATATTTTTTACTATAGGTCCTTAATAGCCTTCTCTTCGATAAATAAATGATTTATTGTTTTTGTTATACTTTTTATTCAAAAAAATAATATGTCTTGGTCCTCTATAGGTTAGGGCTCTATTTTTTTAAACATTACAAAAATTCTTATTTTAAGAAATTTAAATTTTAAGCATGTGGAAGATTCCACAGCTATATTTACTGTTTAAGTCAAATAAGTTTTGCTCTACAAACAAAGATGTATTTGTTTTTTTTCGTCTGTAATTTTTATATTGAGTAAAAAAATTGTATTTTTTTTTAATTTGTTATAAAATAGTACAAATGTAAGTTTTATTTAAAAATAAAAAAAGTCTTTTCAGCCATCACTATATAACATATTTTAATTAAGCTTTATATGTTCATAATTTTTATCAATACCATCCATAATATTTTTTAGAGGAGAAATTAGCCATTCAATATCAGAAGATAAGTGTGCCACAGAATTAAAAAACTTTTGTAAATTACGATTTTTCTTAAATGAAATATTGTGAGAGTATTTTAATCTTTCAATTAGCATTTTTATAATTATTACAATACATTCCAGTTGGATAGCTTGTGAAATATTTTTAAATCTCTGTGTCATATTTTCACATTCATAATAAGCAAGGTTAATATTTTCCCGTTGCAGGTTAACAGTTAAATTAAAAGATAAGAAATACTCTACTATTTCTTTAATAAACATGTT